TTTATTTTATTTTATTTTTTTGGGTGGTAGGGGGGTGGGGGTGGATCTTAGAAATTTGGGCATGTGATTGATGATGATCATGCAAAAGAAAAACAATTATGACAAAATCTATAAAGTCTACTGTCACTGACTTCTGCTTTAGAAAATTTGATGATTGTTGATGACTAACTGATATTTCATGTTTATATTGCGATATTTTTATTACATTTCTACCTTCAAAATCAAATATAATTTTTCTGTTACTTGTATTCTTGCTCATGAGTGTATTTTTCACATTCCATGCTGATGTAATTCTGGGTTAAATCAAGTTCTTGAACTTATAGATTTAGATCAAGCTTTTATCCTTTAATCTTATATGCGATGCTCCAATAGCCAAATGAAATGGATGGATTTATATAGCACAAGCAAAATGACTGCCATGAGATTGATTGGTTAGCATTGTGAAACTTTCTGCTGCTAATCTGTCAGCTTCTTGTTTCCCGTGATGATAAATAAAAACTGGAAGCTACATTGCTTGTCGTCTAACAAGTACAATTCCATATATGCAGGTCAGTTTGACATTGAATATATCGGCAAACTTACAAACTTTGTTCACATGGAATACAAAACAGGTTCGTGATCTATGGAATATTATGTTCACTATTGCACTGTTAGTCTGGAGGAAGAGTACTTTTTGTTTAGTGTAAACACCATGAGATGATGTTCGTTTGATTTTGGATTTGTGTAGCTTGTCTATCTGAATAATCATAAATATTGTTCACTAAGATGAGAACATAGTATCACTTCTTAACCTGATAAGTTTTGACTTGAGATTGGAACATATTATCCTATGTTGATGGAAAGATGGATGCTTCGTCTCCACTTTCTTTGCCTTTTTACCTGAGCCGCACCTCCAGTTACATAGAAAGAATTTTTTAATGTACTTTCCTTTTTTAAGGTGAGAACATATTATCACTTAATTACCTGATTTTTGTGGCTTAAGATTGGGGAATATTATCCTTTGTTGCTGGAAAGATGGATGCTTCGCCGCCACTTATTTGCCTTTTCACCTAAGTCCCCACCTCAATGGCGTAGAAATAGTATTTTAATGTACTTTCCCCTTTTTTTAAGATTGCATTTTCCTGTTGGACAAATCTGTGTTTCTGATAGCCCCTACTTTCTTCTTAAAAAACTAAAGGAAAAGGCTTTCTGTAAAGGTGTCATATAAACAAAGTNTAAAATTCACTATTATTCTTCTTTTTAAACGATTGATAAATTTGCCAAATGGAGTGTTAATAAATTCGCTAAATTTTTGTAATGGATACGACTAAATACCATAGTAAGGCCCTATTTGGGAGGGATTGAATTTTTTTACAGTAAATCAATTCTCATTTTCAACCACACATTTTTCAATAAAATAATATTTTTCATCACATCAATAATTTTTTCTTCTTTTTCAACCACAAGTTTCCCATCATATTACTATTCAAAATCAATTCTTCCCCCAAAAATCTCTCCCAAACAAGCTCTTAATTTGTAAGCACTAGCCCCTTTGTCTTTAGAAATAGGGCTTGTCTTACTGAATTTTTGGTTCAATTCATATCTTGGATATAACAATAATCTGGAATTTGCAGGTTTTTGTATTTTTAGCAGCTGAGTATGAAACCCCAAAGAATGCGCTGAATCAGGTATGCACATTATAATTTCTGGACTTATGTTTTGTGTTGCAATTGATTGGATGATGTGTAGTGGTTGTTACATTCTTCTATTGGCCTGCCCGTGTTTATAGCATATGGAAGCATTGTGTATGTTAATATATCTATCGTTGTCATTACTGTCATCTATTGTACATTGTTTCTCTTTTTATTATATGTTTCTGTTCATGATGTAATCATTATGCAAATTGCTGGTGAAATCAAAATAATGGATGCTTTTTTCCTTTTATGGTGAATCTACCCAAAAATAATTAGTGCTGGATTAGGAGCATTGTTCTCTTCACAATACTCTCTTTTTAAAGATGTTTTAAGGCTTTCACTCACCAAATCTTTCGGGACAACGGATATGAAAGCTGCTGAACCCCATAAATAGAAGTTTGATTGCACCTGATTGTATGTTTTTATGAAATTCTTTCATGATCCAGACCACAGTATAATATTCAACAATGTGTTCAAATGAAAAAATTAGTTATGTATTAAATTAATCTTGCATTCTGATTATACTTGTGTAGAGATTTAATGGCCAATGTCGGCTCCCTATCAAAGAGTTTCATGTACTTCATAAAAATGTATGTACTAGATTGGTAGTTTGATCAGATATTATGTTGTAGTTGCCTTGAAATTGCAGCCCCCATCCACTGCATCTGTGCACTCGAATGATCCATGAAAATGCCCCCACAATTGTCACTTCTTTCATATGCTTGGCATGTCCTTTTTTTGGCGATGCAGTAACGAAGAAAGGAATTAATGTGAAAATGATCAGAGTGAGTTCAATATCTTAAAATTGTCTGTGCACACTGACACACTTATATTGTTCAAATGCATTTTGGCAGGTTTCCTTGTGGGATGGTATTATACCTACCAAAGAACATGCACAATTTTGGATTCATACGACAAACAAATATCGTTTTATAGACCAAGTGAGTGACCGTTGTGTAGACTTTCGCATGTTAAATTTTAGTGAATTTCTCATTGACCTTTTTTTCGTCGTTATAGGGAAGCAACCTGCGGGGTAAAGGCTTCAACTTAACGTTACATTGGCACGTCATGCCAAAGACTGGCAAGATGTTTGCTGACAAATTAGCGATGACTGGTTTCCGCTTGCCCGAGACATATAGATGAGAAAGTTACCCCTTGTATGCCATTTGATGTAACTTTATTCTTCCCTTAGTTGAAGATGCAATCACTTGGAACAAAAGTGAAGAGAAGAAATAGGGATGAATTAATTATTGACCATCCAAAAGAAATTATTCATTTACCTTTAGAACTTGAACTTACCAGACAAATGTTTTCTTCTGCTGTGAACTATGATTGTCCATCTATTTGCTGCATGATAGGTAGCAAACTTTTACGGACTTCTTGTCCCCATTTGAACATCACTGCGTCAATTCTCGTTAGCAAATGACGTCTTGTTATTTGTTAACAAGAGTGGACATGGTGATGTGTCAACATTTTAGTCGGGGGACAGTCGATGAGACTACTAAATGGAGACATCAGATTTCAATTCAATTTTAACGTTATTGAACAAGGAATGTTTTGTTTTTGCATGAGTTGAGGATATGTTAATATTCTAGAATACCTTAAGAAAAAAAAATTGAAATTTATGTCATTGTGTCAAGTTTTGTTTAATATTGTTTCCTTTATCTTTCTTTATCACCTGCATCGCGCTATTTGTTTAATAAAATCATTAGTCAGTATTAAGAAAGAGATGCAGCTAATCCGTAAGACCGATCATATCAAAGGTAATTTGATTATAACATAGAGCCAGTTTGAGCCCCTATTATTTAAACTCATTTTCAATCACATATATTTTTTTTTATAATCGAGGGTGTCCGAGTCAACTTGCACGCACCTCGACTAATCTAACGAGACCTTGAAGTTGACGGTTGGGTACTCACCTCAGTGACCCGAGGGGACTGGAACTGGTGACCATTGGAGAGCAAACCCAAAACCTGACTAATTGGACAACCCCTCAAGGTTCAATCACATATTCTTTCAATAAAATAATTTTACACGTGAACTAGAAACTTCTTTATTTTGTTTTATCACACATTTTTCAAAAAATTATTGCTACAAAATTTGTTTCAAAAAATGAGGTTCAAACAACCGTATAGTTGTAGCGATAGTATAAGGCACGATTCTTCATTATTTTTGTCTCCATTTTGTCGGATTGTAGGTCTCTGTCGATTGAGTATTTTATCTGGGGCTGGCTTATGACATTTTCTTGATACAATTTGGTCATACAATAGAATGAGGATAGTGCCTCTTTACCACGCGTTAATATCCAATTTTTATCATTTTGAAGGGGTTGAGGTTGTCGGCAACATTGCAGGCACACAAGTACATTTTTTTCTTCACAAAGCACACTCCAATATGCCCCATAAAAAGTTGCTTTAGGATGTTATACTTTGAAATTTCTTTAAAATATCGATTATACTCGAAAAGTTAACCTTTCAATTCCATTGATAAACTATATGGATTAGTGGTCCATCCTTAGACTACATGATACTAGGTCACTTGGTAGAAAAGATTGAAAAAACATCACAGACCAATTAGTTTACAAGATACTCTTAGGCATTGCTACCTTTTTGCTTCTTTTCATTGCAGGACATTAGGAAAACAACATCAATAGTAATGACCATGGACAACATTAGGTGATAAACCCTACCTAAGAAACAGCAGTTAGACAAGTAGTAGGTGTACCACATTACAAAGAAAGGATACAAGAGTGTTTAGCCATGTACAAAGCAACCGTGTGCTGCAATAGAGTGTCCGATGCCACATTAACAGAGTTTGGACTGAAGAGAGGATAGGAAAGCCCACCGATTATGCAGCAAAGCATCAACTTGACATGCTAAATTCTGTTCCTCCGGGCTTTCCATGCTATTCCCTCGAAAATCGCATCAGTTGCAAAAGTTCCAAGAAATTGCTGAGGATCAACAGGACCTGGCAGCTTAAACGAGAGGGAGAAAGGTCCCGGGGGGCAGAGATTCTGAGATTGCATCTCAAATACCTGGGAGTACTTTTCAACTGTTTTTTCACCTGTTGCTGTCACTCCTTTGATTAATACCCTGCCATCACTTTCAACTTCACAACTAAAATCTTCTGCAATCACGAGGTTATACGATGCGGGGGAAACAATCAAAAACAAGATCTTCTCAGCACAAGGAAGAAGGAAAAAGCAAATAGGACAAGCAGAATCGAAATGCAAATGTAATATGGAAAAGTTGAGTATTTTTATTGTAAACAAAAACAACCCATTTTGGATGTCAAGACAAATATATTGATAAATGATTTAGTTTGCATAACTAAGTGGCTTGCTTACTTCTATCCCCTCTGGGAAGGGATAATAAACTCAGTAATTCCTTCGAAAACCCCAACAAATAGAACCTGTAATGCATGCTATACGTGATCAAATATTTTGAGCCTGAAAAATACACTTACTTTCATCTCTTCTCACTCCAGGGAGGGATACGCGAAAAAGATAGGAATCCTCCGACTCCCCAATATCCATGAGACCTAAAACTGGTCCAATTTGTCCTTTTGCTGCACTTCCAGTCAATGCGAAACCACTTTTAATGGTAGCAACAAGGTTACTCCACTCTTCCCTTGAAGGACGAGAAGGAAGGAATATCATTCCCGGCCCAAGATCATCAACAGGCGTAGTGTTTGCAGATGACGGAATTCTGAAACTGTCTGAAGTCGGAGTAGCATTATGCAGAGCACTGCCCAATACATTATTATGTTCCAATATTTCTTCACTCTTCTCCTCCTGCACCGTAATATCATATAAAACCTTGTCAGAAACCCATATGTGTGACATTGCAGCATCTCTGTCAAGAAGAAAATCTTCAAGCCGAGTGAGCCTCTTAAACCGTTCAATATCCTCTTGCTCAATGTAATAAATTGCGGGGTTATTAACAAAAACAATGTTTTCAATAGTGCCACCCCTGGTTTTATGATGCAATAGCCGATGAAACTGAGGAGGAAAGAGATAATTGAACTGTGAGCAACGTGCAGCACAACCTAGCATTGGAGTTGGAAGATCTCCATGAACAAACTGAAGCAACAAAGGTAGTCTCACAACAACAGATGATTCTGCCTTTCTAAGTATATAGTAGTATACACTTGCAACCACCGATGTTTCTATGTCCGAACCAGTCAATCCATCCACAGTGTAGGGCTGAAGGCCTTCGGCGTGTCTTTGCAAAGCGGACTTGTGGGGCCTTTCATCCTTGAGATCAGGAGCGAAGTAGGTTCCCATGATTAAGTACAGGAGAAAATACTGATCATCTGTCAGAAGTCCACCGTAAACATTGTCCATTTCTCGATCCTGCAGAAATATGAGAATTTATTGTGCAGAAAGCTATTTGTGTCTGATTACACTGCAACAAGTGATTATCTGGTGAGTTTCTGTTTTTCTGATTGCCAAGTTCAACAGATCCAAGTGTCATGCAGCAAGGTTTAAAGAAAGAAAAATTCACATGAAAGCATGAAAACATACATCACAGCCAAAATCTGTGTCTTTCTGATTTCATTTTGCCTGTTGTTGCTCTCATAATTAGAATTGGAGCTTAATCTCTACCAAAGTTAAATTATGGGAGAGGGTACGTGAGGAGAGAAAAAATTCCAACATATACCCCTCAAGTGTCTTGGTCCTTAAGTGAAAGATAGCTCAAATAAATTTCTTCAGCAATCTAAGTATTAACTTCTAATTCATTAGACACTGAGAAACATACATATTACCAGATCACATAAATTATTGAGGTTGAAAGTGCCACAAAATGGGGTATCATGAAACTCAAACTGACAACCACATTCATGTGTGCAGATACCTAGACCACTGAGCCAAAGTTTGTATATTTATGTATTCAGATAGCTTGTTCAAATTTTCCTGAAGTCAGACTTCTACTACAATATAATATATCAATTGGAAGAAAATTACATACAAGTTTTTGCTCCTACCACTCCATATTAAGAGCTCATCATGATTCTAAGAGCTCATCACTCCATATCATGATTCTACCACTCCATTTTAATTGTTATCGTCTTCTCTTTTACTTTGTAACTGAGCATCTGAAGATGAAGTGAGAGTGACCAAAGCGAGGGAACCAGTAGTAGTTACAGGAAAACAGAGATGTGACAAAAATGGTATTTCATTCGCTAAAGTGGCAAACAATGACCAAAAATGAGACAACAAAAAGTTAGCATAACATGGCTACTAAAGACTATATTCTCCCGACCGTTCGTAAGCAGTGGTAAGATTAGTAGTTAGTACTATTATGGCTATGGATCTGTTCCGAGTAACTTCAACTGGATCTATTTCCCATAATAAGCTCTACGCCCTTTGTGTTGCGTATTTGAATATCTATAATACAAAAGATAATTTTTTTTGCTAATTCAGATAAAGGCAGGCAATCTAAACTGCATAAAAATACTTTGTTTCAATAAATCAAGAAATGTCTGAACTATTGTTGGTAGAATCCTTTCATATAGAGCAAATCACACTGATCTTCCTCTCAGTTAGGATTTACTCTAATCTATCAACTCCCAATTTCTGTCACTTGACTCAATTCTCTGACACCGACTCCCTGGTCACCCCAAAAATGAAGGAAACGGGAAAAATCACGGCAGGAGACTGCATGTCACCTGATGAAGCTACTTTACATGTGCAGACTTAGAAGGTATTTGCTTTGATATACATATGTTGGTAAAAAAAAAAAAAAGGAATTACTGATATAAAATATATCCATTTCATTTGCCATTTCTTTACTAACAGCAACAGGAAGGATTTAAATGGAGCTTAATTTCATATGCAGCACGTAAAATTTGTCGTGACAAGCAATAATACGAAAAAATTAATGGATGGAAAATCTTTTACTGACCCAGTTCAGTGTTCGACCACTAAGAACCAAAGGTCACAAAACACTAAGAGCGTGTTTGGGAGAAATTTTTGTGGGATTTTAATCAAAATTATAGCCGTTAAAGTCAACTCGTGGGCTCCACCTGTGAGAGGGAAGTGGGATTTTAATCAAAATTATAGCCGTTAAAGTCAACCCGTGGACTCCACCTGTGAGAGGGAAGGTCAAAAATTGTGGCTGATTTGATAGTTAACGGCTAGATTTCTGATTAAAATCCTGATTAAAATTTCTCCCAAACAGGCCTAAGTAAAATGTATTTAAAAAAAACTATTTGGGAGGAAAACATTTCAAAAATTGTGCTGGGAAACTCAAACAAAGAATATAGAGACTAATTAACATTAAAAGTGCTACAAAATTAAACACAAATATTTTACAATTGCCTAATAATGCTACCCCTATTTTGATCAAGTTCCCAAAATAAATCCCACAATATATCGAACATAATATTCAAAATAAATAAAATTATCTCCTGTGATGTTCATCAGAAATAAACCAAACTCCAAAATTCACACGACACAAGGTAAAATCCCAGAAAGGTAAACTACTGGTTCTGGTTCATAAATGAACTCGCTAATGACCCCCATTACAAAAAATAAAATAAAAAAAATCATAGTCCACGAGCATATAGATTACCGAGAGAGAATTTCCACATATAATTAGATAAAGAAGCAAAACTAATATTTGTAAAATTGCAAAGTAAAGGAAGAAAAAAGAGTGAATTACCAGTGGAGCAGTTACACAGAGACTGAGGGGTTCTGAGTTCTTAAGTTCATGATGCAGTGCCACGTATGACAACAAAAACTATTTTTTATGAATCCTATCAGATGGCATGTTTGGCTAAACTTTTAAAAATGTTCACTTATAAGTAAATTAATTTTGGTTACTTATATGCGCCGAGAAAATTAAATTAAGATAAAAAAGTTACTTTATTTGTTTATTAATGTGAACGAATAAGACAATAAATAAAATTTTACATTATATATATATATAATTCAATTGTTTATTCATTACCTGTAATATTATATAAAATGATATTTTGAAGTTAATAGTTAATTATTTATAAAGGTAAAATGATTGAACAATGTTACCGATGACTTCGTCAACGATCGAACTACTGTTCTAATTTTAGAATAGAATATAATTAAATTTATTTTTTAATTACGATATGATATGATTATATGATTATAATGATATATAAATTGATATTTGTACTTATAAGCTACCAAAAAAATCTGCTCTATCGAAATCTAATTATTTAATCCAAAAATATAAGAATTTAAAATATATTTCGCTTTAGTCCTTTGACTTTCAACGATTGTCAGTGTTTGCTAATTAGCAATGTCAAAAAAGCTCGGTGGCTCGAACTGCTCAATCCGAGTCGGACCGGCTCGCGGCTCAGTGGCATCGAGCCGAAGCTCCGGTCGAGCCCCATTTTAGGGTGTTGGCCCGAGCTCGTCACCGACCTGTGTTACTGGCTGAGCCGAGCTTTTTATTTTTATTTTTAAGTTTAGATGTATTTTTTTAATATATTAATATTTAGTTATTATTTATAATACGCATAAATTGCACAAATTTTCAATACAGTATAAAAAATTATAAATTTATAACAAATTAAAAAAAAAAAAAAACACGAGCCCAGCTCGGCTAGCTGAGGCTCGAGCTCGACTCGGCTCGGGCCCAAAAAAGCTCGGACTTGTTTGCTCGAGCTGAATTTCAGCTCGTGACTCGATACGACTCGACTCGTTGATATGGCTATTGCTAACATTATCAACAATATTGTCATTAATGATTGATTATGGTTATCCAAGCGCCAATTATAATTACGACATCATACAATAACTTATAATTACGACATCATACAATAATGTCGTTGATAATTATCGACAAAGATAGATCACTAATTATGAACGATCATAATTTTCATTTAATGATCGACCGAATCATTATCGACGGAATTTATGTGAACTACACTTTGCTCTATTAGTTTCGTTTCTTATTATTTTGAAAAACATTTGTCTAACCCTAAATTGCTCGAGTCACCTGTTAGCTGATGGTAATGTACAAATAATATTTTTCTCTATCATAGTTGTCCTGATTAAAATATTATACTGTATCAAATCCGGGAGCATTCACACCCATATAACTCAGTACTCCTCGCTCTTTTAGCAATTCATCTGTGAATTACATAAAGATATATATATACCTGAAATGAGTCGAATTTCCTATATTTTCTCGCCCTGAAATCTTTGAAAGTTTGAACCTTTGACTCTTGTTCAGCAGCTCTCCGATGTCTTCTTCGCCTTTTCCGAGGTTAGTCATTGGTCGATTTCGCTCACATTCTATGCTGATTAATTTTTGTTTTGCATTAAGTATTTCATCTGTTGATGATCTCCTGAAAAGGGTAGTTTATTAATAAATTTAAAAGTGCTTTAATCGATTGCCTTCTGTTCTATTGATTTATTTATTATTTTTTTGGTTTTTTTTTTTTTTTT